TATGGACTACCAAAAGTGCACAAACCCAATGTACCACTACGACCCATTGTCGCATCCACCCAACTACAATCTCGCAAGGTACTTCTTCCAACTACTACGCCCATCATTACCTGCAAACCAAAATGATGCAAAAAGTCCCACGATTTTCCTGGAACGCATCAAGGGACTGACCATTGAACCAGATGAAGTGATGGTCTCTTTNTTCGATGTGACCTCACTGTTCACCAATATACCGAAGCAAATGGCCATCGAAAGTATCCGACACTTGTGGCAAAACGACCAAAATTTGCAATTAAGAACGAAACTTTCTGTGGACGAAATGGTGAAACTCGTAGGACTCTGTATGGAAACCTATTTCCAATTCGACGGGAAGGTGTACCAGCAGATACGAGGAACTCCAATGAGTTCGCCACTCTCAGGGCTGCTTACGGATGCGGTTGTGAAACACTTCGAGGCCAAAGCCTTTGAAATTCTACAACCTCGTCTGTGGATACGTTTTGTGGACGATACATTCGTCATGCTCAGAGCCTCCACAGTAGATCAGTTCCACCAAATGATCAACGAGCAGGTGCCCGGTATCAACTTCATACGAGAGGAATAAAAAGATGGACAACTCTCTTTCCTCGACATCTTTCTCATGAGGCAACCTGATGGAAGAATCCAAACTACGGTCTACCGAAAACCGACCAAGACGGACCGCATCCTCAACTACAACAACAATCACCCTTTGTGCCACCTAAAAAGTTGTGTGCGAACTCTATTCCGACGAGCAAACACACTGTAGCACACCGGAGTTAAAGACAAGAGAAAGAAGTCGACTCTTTCAACTGTTCCTATCAAACGCATATCCTAGGAGTTTTATCAAAGTGTGTCTCAGAGGTAAGAAACAAACAACACATACAAAAGAAGGAACTTGGATAACACTACCCTACATAAGCGGCACGTCAGAAGCCACCGAACGAGTATTCCGACCGTTGTGAATCAAGATCGCCCATAAACCGGGCAGCAACCGTGCGATCATGCCTTTTCAACGGCAAGAATCGAGTCGAACAGCACGAACGATTAGGAGTAAGTTACGCAATCCCGTGCCTGGGCTGCAACCAACACTACATAGGTGAGACAGGCAAACAACTACACACTCGCCTACACGAACACAAGCTTGCCCTCCGACGCGCTGATCCGAGGTCACAAATCTGGAACCACTCCGCACGGACAGGTCACGAGATCGATAACGTAAAGGCTGTGGTGCGAGCTAAGAAGAAAGGGGAACGATTAATCTTCGAAGCTCTGCACTCGGTCAATTCGTTCAACCGACACGCCAAGATAAACAAACATTAAGCCACACGCGCAAAACCCGTGATGATTGGTGGACTGATAGACGTACAAACAACATACAGGCGCACGGAAAGACGGTAATTCCATCATTTCATTCACGTTTGACAACGAGTCCTAGTTTGGATCGAAACGTTACAACAAACATTTTACAACTCAGTGTACGCCTCCATTCTCTCTTGAAATATATAATGTATACATATTATATACTCGGAGTCGTGTTTGAGCTTCTAGTTCTTTGGGACTCAAATTAATAACGGAAAGTAATGTTCATTCGGGTTTCACCTCTCTCCTTCCCTCATTTGGTCAACTGTGTAAAAGATGTGATTCTGGCAACGGTCCTGTCCTCCGGCGAGAATGATGGTATTGATGTACTCTCTCAAGTGGCAGGCAGTCTGAGTTAGGGTGTACAGACGACATAGTACTGTTAAGTGAAGACCTAGTTTTATTGTAGTTTTTGGTGAGACTTTGAATGTTAGTATAGCTAGCGTCTATATACCTTTTCCCCCTCCAAAGTGGGAAAAAGTTACTGATCAGGTTTGATTTTACTTCTATTATTACAGTGATAAGTGAGGCAATGGAAAGAATAGACAAAGTTTGCAATTTGAGCACCTTCCACCTGGCGGAAACACAGCAGATGAAGTGTCAGCATACACAAAGAAGGAATTGTATGCTCCGGCCAACTTGAGACATCAATGGGACTGGCGGAACAATCGGTTGTCCGTAGACGGTCGGGTGTATGCAGCAGTAATCTTGGCCCGATGATGCTGTATGAGACGCAGAGACTTGGCCGTTACGGGAAAAGGACAAAAATAGACCTAGCTATTCGAAAACCGCTGTCTACTTCGTACTGCTCGAATTTCGTGTGTTATAATTCCAAAAGGCAGTGCTGGTCGAAAAAAATCGTGTATTGGGGATTTCAGATGGCAATGAATGTAGTAATCGATAGTTATTCTTTGAGATACAGCAATTTGCCCTCGGTGGTCTTCTTAATTTTTGATCATCGAAAGTTAGCTACTATTCACAAGTGAGTAGAATCTCACAACACGTGGAACGACCGGATAAGTAATGTTAAGATTAGGCGCAGAATGTCAGGCAATCGCGGTGACGCACTGGAGCAAGTGCTGAACCTCCATAGATTAGAGTTAGCGGGGATAAGTGTTACGCACATCGCGTAATGGATTGCCCCGGCGTAGTATGTTCGCTGAGATATGTAGTAGATGGAAGAAGGTTATTCGTGCTAAAATATGGCAACCCCAATCGCCGCACGAAAATGCTAAGGCTTGTGGTTGTAAAAACTGAAAATTGAACATTAAAACAGAGAATTCAATTGAATTAATAATTAAAATGTGATTCAAATAAATCAAAGTAGTCGAGACGATATTTGGACGATAGTGGTCGAGGTAGTTGAAATAATCACATTGGCGNNNNCCCCGCCACAGCCGCCCACATTCTCGTAATCTGTATTTCCTCCAGGCAGCCTTTGTATGACCGAGACCCGGTTCCTGAAATTTTATTGAACATTTCGATAGCCAATAAAGAAAAAGGGGAGTAGAACATTTATCAAAACATTTATTTATAAATGCAGTAGAAATGAATAACANNNAAAGTGTGCAACGAGGATGTCCGAACTGGCTGCTTTAGTTAAGACAACGGTTAATTTACGGGACTCAGTGTTCCATTTATTTTGAGGGCACTCTGAGGATCGATTTTAGATCATTCAGATATTCTCTCCCGTTTTACGCTACGCATAATTTGACTTATCACAACTAGGTTGTCACAGGGTAACACTTTGATTACATTGTCTGATACGACTTCTGCTGTAGAATCAGATCAGAAAAGGTCTCCCGTCACCTGAGTGGCAGAAACCGGAGGCATGCCGTATAATTTGGCAGCCAGAGGAAGAACAAGACAGATGATTGAATTTCCAAATGGGTGCCTGGCATTTTAGGGTAGAACATAATTCGCGGTGGCTCATATAGACAAATATTTTTTTTTCGGGAAACCCTGGCAGGAGTCTTCAACTCAAATGTCTGACCCACAAGGTAAAGATGCCTATAGATCCATCGCGAGGATGACACCTGCGTGGGAGTTTCTATAGACCTCAGAGTTGCAGTTTCTATTCGCTGGTGCGTCAGTGTCGTTCCGTCGTTCGAGATCAGCCCGTAGTCTCATGCATTCAATAAGATAGTCAAAATGTGGACGGAACAGCACCTTATTATTTGTATGTTGTCTAGTTTGGGCGGTTGCAGTTATCCAATGAAATACGCAGACTTCTTGCACTGTCAGCAGGATCTCTTAAGTACCTCACTCTTACGTCTAAATAGGAGAGGGGGAGGGGGATTCCGATCGGTGAACTGCTCCTCCCAGTGGTTATTCCGTGGATTGAGCACCTTAGAGATAAAAGTGGACGCTTGAAGCAAAAGACAGTTGTTGCTCAATGATCTGACTTTGTGAGACTGTTTTGTGTCTGGCCCGTACTCAGACTGACCTTTCAACCTTTCAACGGTTGCGTCTGCGGTTGTGAAACTCATCCCGTTTAACTTGATAGGTCATAGAGCAATGTAGACAATCAAACAACGTCAAGGTGCAGTCCCATCATGATGGAGAACTGGAACACACAGTGAATCGAATAAACCGGTAACACATACCTCAAGACTGTCTTGCGCACGCCATGAGGCTGTCAACAGATAGTCACCGTCGATATCCAGACCATCGGGGCTGGCAACATGTGGCCCGTAGATTTTCCACACTGGTCCATTCGGTAAACGGGTATCCCATAGCTGAAAGTAATCCAGAGTAGCGCATTATTTGCCGCATTTTAGTTCAGACTGCCAGGAGACTATCTAAGAATGGGTGTGCTAAAACAAAACAGATATCCCCCTTGTGTTCCTTCCTCACTCTACAAAAGTGAACCCGAAAAGTTATTCAAGTGAGACGGTAAATAAGACACAAGCGAGCAGACAATTGCTTACTGGACAACTTTCTGTCGGATGTATTTGTGTGCTATCTGATGAGCCCTGGGGCACGACAAGTCTGCAAGAGGATCAACAATGCACATTATATATCATTTAGCAGTAGAAGTGGGTGACAGCCACACCACCGCATTACACATGCTTACCTTGACCATATTGTCCCATCCCGCACTGAATAGTAGAGCAGATCGTTGTGGATGATAACGAAGAGCCATAATTCGTTTGGAATGACCTTCGGTGATGTTGATACCAGGCGAGGTGGGAACATATTCTCTCAACTGAGGCACCGGTTGCTTGTGACCTATATAGGCAGCTGGTTCGGGTAAATATGGCGGATCTTGCAGATCCTTAATCCCATAGCAACGGGTTAGAACATAGCGTCGCACAGTCGCATCCACTATCTGATTAGGTCGTCCTCCGGGGAAATGTGGACGCGTGTATTTTGGTAATTGTTCATTTGTTATGGCCTGATTGCCCACTCCGTCTGGGGTAATGTTGATCCGATCAGTCCGATAACTTGCTGCATCGGACAGACGAAAAACAAAACATTAAAAAACACTTTTTCTGTTTCTGATGCTTTTATTGACATATATTGAACAAACCCGATGAACTAACTGAGGGTTAAGACTAGCAGTGTAAATCACTGGCTCAATAGCTTAACTTCGTGAGTTATCGAGTTCATTGTTTTTCATTGAATTTTAAATTTGAAGACCTGACTCAATGTTAAAAAGGCTCGCGATGCCAATAAACTGTTCATCAGATAAACCGCTATATATATATATATATCTATAGTGGATTTGAGACGAAAAAATCTTGGAGAATCATTGCGATGTATATATAATAAGGGTTGTGAGCAAGCTTGGAACCAACGCAACAATAAGAATAATAGAACATGGGAGGTTGGGGTACCGGTCTAGCAAACGGTGGAGGGAATAGAGTTCTTGACTTAGAATATGCCGACGACATCACTTTGCTGAGTGACAATACACAGGCAGTCTACCACACTTTGAACCGCTTGGCGCTTTACACCGTCCAAATGCAAAGTGCTTGTACAAGACTGGCTGAGCCTGTGCATGGACTCACCCTCTGTGCTGATCAGCTGGAAGCGGTTTTATGGCCTTTTGATTTCAGTCTCCCAAAGCTACATACAGGTGCAACGTGAGATTGGTTCAACCTGCACGCACAGATGAAGCCCCAACACTCACGTGGTGGAAACTCGTCCTCGGCTGAGGCATCCAAATGGTGTGGCAAACCAACAAATGAACCCGGTTGTAAAGTGTAAACTCGAATTCTTCTGTCCACACCCCCGGTAGCCAGTTCGGTTCCGTCGGGAGAGATGTCCAACGCGTATGTTTGTTGTGGTTCTATAGTTCAAAGAAAAAAAAAACAGAAAGAAACTGACTGTTATACGGAACAGAATTTTGAAGGTTTAGCAAAACAATCGATAAGCGCTATAGGCACGGATTAAATGTTTGTCACAAAACTAGAAGCCAATTCGGTATTTGAAAATTATTCTCAAAACAAAACTATAAGCAACAAAACAGACGAACACACGAATCGGAATTACCGTCAAGAGCTAAATACAGCTTGCAAACATCCCTTTTTAGTAATGATTGTAGAAGGGGTAAACCCCATAGTCACGAGCATCTACCGTACGGTTATGGAAACCGGCGATCTGAAACCTCAGGACTAGCAGTGGTGAACTACGCAAGGCCCAACAATAATCAGTGAAGCTCACGCCGGGAAACCCAGATTACTTCACGTTACGCTGAAGGACGAGAAAGACGTCGAGAACGCTCTTCTTTCTATATTTGCCTTCTTGGCAAAGTTTCGAGTAGAATAAGAATGCTTCCTGATCAACCGTGGACTGAACGTACGCGCGAATCCAGTATATGCGCGCAAATAGGGGAATAAAGGAGTTGTATTGATTCGCGGAGTCTTGAAATTACACGATCCGGACGAATCTAAACGCCAACAAAACGATTTTAAATAGTGGGGGTTCATTCAAGAACTGATTGGATGCCACAATATTTTCATCACCTCAGTCAGCCGATTTCCATGCTCATCAAACTACCGTAGAAACGGTTCGAGAATTATGAAAGTAAAATCTCAGTACCCCGGAAATGGTCGCATCGGTCTTGCAGGCATGGTATCAAAACCGAAGAAGAGGACTGTTATGTTTTGTACTAGCCATACGAATGACACGAGCGACTCTTGCTTAAGCCCCAACGACAACACGGAGAGAGAACACAGGTTGAGACAACAGTCAGTGTGTATTCCCTGCTTGGATATCGATACACAAAACAGTGAGCTAATCGTGAATACGAGAACAGCGCTGTGACGCACCAATCGGACTGTGTTCTTGACATATCGATTGATCGATTGGACAAACATTCTGTGATCATCCAATCGGGTTCAGCCTGTCTGGAGCGTTGCGAACGTGCGTGTGGCTTGACTCGGAGGCGTTCGCGATCGGACGGGTTGCTTAAGCTCAGCCTTAACAAGGACCACCAGAATTACGCCTCAGATCACTGTTGAATAGTTAGGTAAAACGGTGTCCTCAGCTAGAAAACGAGGCTAACACTGTCTCTCCCAAGCCAAACTCTACTTCCTTATTCGCGAGCCCACAGCAGCAAAACTGATTTCCCAAAAATCTACAGCTAGCGGATCACAGAGTGGTCGGCATAAATAACGATTCAAAACCCAGCGGATTCCTAAACCGACACTCTCTAGCTTGTTTTGACACAAACGCACAAGACTTCCGTAGCAAGCTCCCCGAGGTGCAACTGCGTTTACAAACTGGTCAGTAGGATCGTGTTGCCATTACCGAAACTTGGTTGACTGCCGATATTCTCGACTCTGAATTGCACCTACCCGGAATATCACTCCTGAGGCGTGATCGTTCGACACGAGTTGGCGGTGTGCTGCTATATTTCCGCAGCAACCTTCAGTGTGAACCACTCGATCTTTTCGACGCGACCCCGACACACTTTGGTGCACAATGAGGCTGTCCAAAGATAGCAATTGTTTGATCGGTGTAGTCTACCGCTCTCTTGCATCCTCAGACTTAGCTAACGAGGCGATGTTGCATACTAAGAGATAAGCTCTATCAGTAAAGTTCACTCATGTTCTCACAACGGGAGACTTCAATTGCCCCAATTTTATAAAAGTCAGAACTATTCACCATCCTTTCGAGCGAAATTTATCACAGTTTACACACTCACAACCGATGTATAAGCACGTGAAGGATCCCACCAGATTTGGAACAGGACAACAACCATCAACATTGACAAGCGAGGAGCTTATGGTCGAATCAGTCAAAAAAGGTCTCCATTAGGACGAAGCGACCATGCAGTTCTGCTTCTCGATTACATAGAAATATGCATAAAAACCAACACACGCACCGTTACTAACCACAGAGAATTGCTGAGCCTTGCTACTTTCAAACAATGGACACAACCAGAAGAGCAGCTACATCCACTGGAATCCTGGTAAAGATTCTTTGATACTCTAACAGAACTCATAAGGGTTGCTACGAAAACGAAGCCTATCGGTATGTCGCCTACATGATTGTCATCTATCCACAATCGAATCAAGAAATGGGTGTCACAGAGAAGTTTCTTTTGGCGAGAGTTTAAAAAAATGTCCGACCGCTGACACTTGGGATAACTATATCCTGTTGAGAAACCTTTGTGTAAAATTAGTGAGAGGGAATAAACGGAGGTTTCAGGAAACCTTAGCACATTAATTTATTTCCAATCCAAAGCTATCATATAAGCATATTATTGCCACCAGATAAGTGAAATACGGAATCCCGGCACTAAGGAATGCAGTACGCGTTTCAGTTACTACTTATGAAGCAGCCGAATTCCTAAAAGTCCAGTTCCACGAAGTGTTCGCTGCAGGTGACAAAGTCGGATTACATGTTCCATACCTTCTGCCAAATGTCCCCTACCCCTAATTGACCATCATCAACATCAAATCTGAAATTGTAAAAGCCTAAATATTGGCGCTGCGTAGGAATTGATTTCCAGGGGAAGACATCATCCACCCACAGATCCTGATATCCTTGGAAAAGCACATATCTGAAATAATTGCTCATTTATACCAAAGTATGTTTGACAAGACGAAGATCTGGCCGTCCTGGAAACACAAGTATCATTTCAACTATTTACAAAGGTGGCTGCAGAAATAATCCTACGAACTACCTTCCAGAGTTTTTATACATGGAAATCTCCTCCACCTCGAGTTGTTTGTGCACCAACCATCGATTCATTCAAGTCACGACTGGATGAAGCATTGAACCACCTAACTTTTCAGCACCCGTGAGTGAACGTTATAGTTTGATATTGAATTGTACTACCAATGGAACCCGGTGTGTGTCCAGATCCTATGGGATTTAATAAGCATCAGCTTTGTAATTTACCCACAATAAAAGTTTGAATTTGAAAGTAACGAAATGAAAATACTAAAATCAATCAATTCGTTCAAACTCCCAGATTGTTATTCAGAACAAACAAAATGTTAGGAACATGGGTTTGTGCAATGTACCCATGGTCATTTTTCGGCACAATCAAGATGATTTTTACAGTCACTGAGTTGACAACTGTGAGACAGAGACAAGATCGCGGATCATAAGGGACAACACGACACAACAACAGAAAAAACGGGAGGGGGTCGGGGTCAATCATTGAGAATGTTTCAAAAGTAAATCAATACTGTCGCTATATTGATGCCATCCAACGACTCAACAAAATTCACTCCATCCAACTAACTCGTTACAACGAACGGGATGACCGCGTCGAGTTTTTAGATATAAACATTACTCGTCGACCAGAGGGATCAATCGAAAGATCTGTCTATCGAAAGAACACATGATCTGGGTAATATGCGCATTTCATGAGCTTCGCCCCAATGCGATATAAAATTGGTCACAATCTCACGAAGAAAAAAATGGTGTTCATAGATGAGAAGACTAAAAACGATCGGTATGAATCTGGGTGGTTTTTCCGTGGTTAGTTGGAGTCAGTTGACAATTGTGGACGGTGATCAAAGTGCCACAGCATTTGCAAACATAATTCCATCGTTAGTATTGCTTCCTCGTCATGTCCCGTATGTAAAGGCAGAATTCTGCTTTTTCATTTGGTTTGTATGCTCATCCACTTGTTCCTGTGGACCACAGGGTCAGGTGACCCCACTTGTGGTTGAACACCGGAATAATCGAATCGCTCACTGGTGAAGTGTCTTTACAACTAACTGAAACAAATCCAACAGTGAATGTGGTCGACTACCAAGGCACATTTACCGTTGCATGCTGATCAAAGCGGAAGCAGTGTGTGTGTGTGCTGGAAGACAATTAAAGTTTAAAGTCACCTGGCTCAATTACTCCATATGCCGAGTAATCACAACGATCGGATGAACGAACAAACAACTACGTATTCTGAATTTGTCATGTAAATGATGTTTGAGTTGAACAGCTGGGAAGCACTGGACAGCTGTTTCTACCTGGTTAGGTCTCATCAGCAGTGCGAATCCGTTAACCCAACCGGGGATCGAACCAGCTTTTCATCTCACGCCTCATTTACACGACGAATTCATCAAATAAGCGAATCAATTCCTCCACTACTCCCATACAACTACGTATTCGAGAGCGAACGAGCTCGTTCACTACTCTGTGGAATTGTTCAGGCAATTAAGTGGATATATTTATGATCAACGTTTCTACATCAATTCAGTTAGCGGACATCTTCCGTTCAGTTCAGTTGCAGTTTTTACAACCATAAACCATGCACTTTCGTGCGTAGGTTTTGGTCGCCCATTTAGATGAAAGAGCATAATGAAGATTAGAATGTTGAAAGCCCATCCAAGCGGAAGATGGACATCTTCAAATTCCATGATTTACCGCGACTTCGATGATCACAGCACATAAAATGACCAGTGCGGTATTTTCATTGTCGAAACCGGACCGAAAACTTTGGATGGTCTCAGTATAATACATCGAACTGCATGCACATATATCAGGAAGTCAAGGATTCCGTTTCAACATGCACTTTTGTGGGGCGGTTTTCATGGCTACATTTTGGTTGCTCATTTGCATGAAAGAGTAGCAGGAACATTGCAATGTTTAAAGCAGTGTACAAGAGAAAATAGGGAACTCAGGTAGACAAAAGTTGAAAGTATAGTGAGTAGATGCTGTAACGACCTTGGGTGATGGTGGTGGTGGCGGTGAAGTGGTTTAGTCGCTGTCACCGGCGTGCTTTGGACCCTGTGGTCCAAGGTTTGCACCCCGCCACCACCACCCAACTATGGTGGTAGACAGCTTTGCTGTTGCCCGGTTCTATACCACGCCTGATCTATCGGGA